GATGGGAGGGGGGGGGGGGGGGGGGGGGAAGCAAAAAAACAAAAAATTGTTATTGTATACATTTATAATTACAATACAAAACCTTTTCTCGACATCTCACTCTATTTGCCTTTTGCACTTTCAAATTGTTCTAACAATGAATGGTACACGAGCACGTTCATTAATGTTAAGTAGCAACAAGAACAAAAATTATGAACATGAAATCAGTTTGGGGACCTCCGACATTTATAGAAATGAGTACTTGGATCCACAATTAATTTCTTCCATATTTGGACTCCCTTAGTACTATTTTTGTTATAATTACATCCCTATTAACGATTTGAATAATGCCGTTTATAACAGTTCACTATCACAGTTGCTCTATATGACATACACGACAATTAATAATTTGATGCATAATCATCACATGTATGCCACGTAAGACAACTACGGTTGTGAACTATTGCAAATAACATTACTTTAACAATTTATGTGAAAATTTTTTAAATGTTTGTATACCGAACATGAAAAATTAATTAAAAAAAAAAAAGAAGGAAGTGGAAGGTCTTCCCTAAAAATCTATTAAACATTTGCAAAACGCGTGATTTTTAACGAAATTTTGTACAAAACCCATTAGTGGGAACTCAATTGCTTTATAAAAATGGAATGTGCATTTTAAGTGACTCGAATGCTAATTTTTGGATGCAATTTTCATAAATTATAATAAAAAAGATTAGTTTTGAACAATAGAATTCTCCATACTCTCCTACGATAGCCCTAAACTACGAACCTTTACTTAAGTCATCTCCAGGTACATCATCATCATCGAGGTAGATGTTCTCTGCCATCTTCCATATTTGTAATACGTTATCCTCAGCTACACTAGCAACAACCCAATCTTCACATGGGTTCCACGAGAAATCTGAAACTTTGCTCGTATGACCACCGTGAATAAAAAGCAACTCTGGTGGCCCTTCTTCAGAATCCTCTGGTGTTTGTTTTTCATCAATCCTATGAAGAAGAAAGATGAAATTAATTATCACGTGTGATATTGACGTCCATGTCTCTCAGGTTAATTGACCAAACTAGTGTCTCAAAACAGGAGACACTTATAATAGATGAACCCAAAGGATAAGTGAATCTGCAAGTTTGTGGAATTGCCTGCTTGCTTTTCTTCCTCTCAAGTGTGAGATCAGAGATGAATCAAGTTGTGTAGGCAAAATACTTAAGAAACCCAAAAATTTAAAAATTTAAACGAGTTTGATAAATCAACAGTCGGTGAAGAAAGAGTTTAAACTGTAATGTGATCAGTGAAAATTGTAGTAAAGCGGGTATTTGAAACATAGTTTTCAGCAATAAATATTTTTGTCAAAACGAGAACAATCAATTAGCAAACATGTTCCTGTTTATGCCAGAAAACGGAAAAACGAAAAACTAATTAACATAAAATAACAAAAACAGAGTAATTGGACGCTAAAAACAGTAGATTTCACCTTGTTATCTTACAAAAAACAAGAAAAGAAATTACCTGCTAAGATCCCACACCATGAGCCTCCTACCAAGACAACAAGAAGCTAAGATAGTCTCATTCTTTGGATGCCATCCAACCTGGAAAACTGCCTCTCTGCCATCAAACCACAGCAGCATTGTTAGCAAATATTAATCCACCAATGCATACAGATCTATGTCCGGATGAGATCCATGCTAAAGGACTAACATGAGTTCAAGGAACTTCCTTGAAAAGAAAATGCAAGAAAACCCTCTTACTTGTGACAGTCAAACGTATGGAGAGCAGAAGAAATCTTTCGAAGATCAAATAATTTAACAGTCTTGTCAGTAGAACCTGTTGCTAAAACCCACTCGTTTAATGCATTGAAAGCTAAACAGTTTACCTATCAATGATTGAATGGAAAAAAGTCACTGTCAAGTATACAAATCCTTTCATCTGAACATTGGTCAACATAATTATACAAAATGAAAAATCTGGTGTCTACAGGAAAAATCACCCTGCATAATTAAAAGGACAAGGATGGATCAAACAGAAAAGAAGCATTTTAATCCTTTCTGTGCCTGTGCAGGTAAGGATGGTTAAGAGTATAATAAATTAGCTAGAAGTGTTGGAAAAAAAAATCAAAGATGGAGAAAATTCAGTATCATGACAATCTAAAACTTTCTAATTGGAAGGTTTCCTTTCATTCATGTTGAAGCCTCGGCTTATCTTTCATTTGTTTTGTTGGGGGGGGGGGGGGGGGGGGTTAAAAAAAAAATTTTTTTTTTTTTTTTTTTTTTTTTTTTTTTTTAAAAACCTTTTTTTTTTTTTTTTTTTTTAAATATAAAATTTTGTAAATTACTCAAATCTTATATATTGCCAAGCCCATTTATGGCTCCTTCACTTGCCCAAGCCATGGGGGGGGGGGGGCACTTAAAACAAGCTTATTTTAGCTAACCTCAATGTTCCCCAAGGAATAATATAAACCAAAGGTTGATTTTGTTCATAACACTGTAAGCAGTGAAGTACATCATTACATAAGTTGACATTTATAGGCTACCAAGCCTACACATGAAAAGAAATCAAGCAATTTAACCAAAACGGCACTTAATAGAATTACCTTCAACAAGGACAGACAATCTAGACCATTGCATGCATAGACTAAATTTAAACTAGTTCCAGGGCAGTATATGTGAACAGAAGTTTTTGTGTATTTCAGGTCTAGACTATAAATTGCAATAAATGTCAGTATACAGGTATACGATAGACAAATTCAACTAGAAAGTGTCAATAATGCTAGGAAAAAAACAAACTTCTATTATTCTACATGAGCTACAGCCAAGAATTACTCAAAAAACTATATCCAATAATATTTCCATACTGTGGTTCCACTTTAAGGGTCATTGAAAAGAACTTATAGTCACCTCACTTTGATGA